TAGAAATGGACCTTGATCAATGATAGGCGTAGTGGACCATTTTACCACCGTTTTTGCACCAAAACTGATATCGTTGTTTTTCGATTTGCGACGTCGGAATGTCGTCGATATCTAAACCTGACCATTGTGTGGAAAGGCCTAGCCTAGTACTACTATCTGCTTATCAAGAAAATCTGATGACATTTAAATTGATGACGTCACAAGTGGTACAAAGAGCACGAGCATTAGTTGGTATTCAAAGGGTTAAAACAATTATGATAAAAGCGATTATAATATTTATATTACGTCTAATATCTCTAAAACGTTTCATAAGTCTGGAAAATACGCAAAGCTTCTGAGATTAGACCGGGATAAATATGAGACAAAGGTGAGTACGGCGAGTAGAGGAACTTACCTGATGAGTTGTGCAAACGCTCAACTAACCTTTGTAACCAAGGGACTAACCGTAAAGGCAATGAAAACACATTACTTCATGCAATCTGAAAAAACGAAAAAAAAAAACTAAAACAATTCAATTCCAAAAATGGTTTTCTTTGTTTGAGTCTGACTTGAATCCTTTTCAAATCTTACTTAAATGACAAACTTCTTAATCGCAGCGTTCGTGACGAAAAGTATGTGGAGACTCTCTGGGGAGTCTACCCCCGCGGGAAGGCGATTTGCAATTCTACGAAAGCATGACGTTCAGTGACGTCAGTGCCTATCCGGCACTAAGCTGCTAATATGCGTTCGTTTATATTAACAGATTGTTAACCTCAAGAGACAGTGCTTGGAAGCCGATCAAGTAAGTTGTAATAAGTGCCTTGTTACGTAAGTTGCAATTTTCAGTGAGTTATTTTTCGGTATTTTTTTTTTCTGTACTGCTCGATGTTTCTGCACGCCATTGAAGAAAAAGCTCGTTGTATTTTTGCTGAGTGCAGGCCAAACTATATTGTACTCTCTGATCATGTATGAAGTTATGAAGCCAAACAAATTGAAATGGCCTTCATCTTAGCCATTAAATCTCGTAATTCAGGTACCTTTGGAAAGATTGGCCACCTTTATTAAAGAGAATCCGCGACGAAAACTAGTAGCGCGAGCTAGCTCCGAATACATAGATGTGAATCCCCTATAGAGGAATTTTGAACTTAGCATTTCAACATTCGTTATCGTAATAAAGCGAGCTCAGTCATGGAACACATCGTTCAAAACAATCTGAGCTCAAAAACAAAAAATGCCGCAGTTGCAGTCAGGCATGATAATAGTAAGAATTAAAAGTTGTTGACTGACGTAAATTTTTTTTTGTGAACGTTTCGGTTAAAAATACTTTAACCTTCTTCAGCATAAATGGCGCGTACGGAAATTTAAATGAGTGCTTTATAGGAGCCGCGGAAAAACGCACATTCGTACGCCGTCATTTACGCTGAAGAAGGTTAAAGTATTTTTAACCGAATCGTTCTCACAAAAACGTTTTTAGTCAGTGTCAACAATTTTTAATTCTTACTAATCTGAGCTCATTTGCGTGATAGTTAATACAGCAACCGTTTATTCAGCTTAGTTTCGTTTTTCCTTTAGCGAGCAAAATTTTAATTAATGAAATGTCGAAACCGCTCATAATGTGATTGCTGGGGCCTGTTTCATACTAGCGACATAACGAAATGATTACATAACGGCATAATCGCTTGGTAATGTGGACATCGACATAAAGACATACATCTAAGGAAAAGGTTATTTTTTCCCCATGTTATTATGTTGATGCTATTTTGTTGCTAATAGTTATCAAGTCAGCATGTTCACTCTGCGAACATAACGACATAACATCCTACTTATGTTGTTATACATTTGCTGTTGCTATCGGTCTCCCTAGTGTGAACCTCCTAGGCTTTTAATACCTGTAATACGCACGATCTAAATGAGTTTAACTGTTCATTATTAAATCTTTATCAGTCGAATAGAACAATGTAATTTTTCGACAAATCTGAATTTATTCATCTCCATTGAAGTGTGTGATTTTGCTTCACAAAGACTGGCTAAATCAAGAAAAATACCGGCGAAGTGCGAAAACTATGATAAGACAAACCGAAAAGAAAATGCCACAAAAACACGATTCCATTCATCTTAGCCTATAACGTCACTGAGGGCTTGGCGTGTTTTCGATCCATTTCACCGCGTGGAATCAATCATCAAAGAATTCCGACAGCAGATAACAGCTGTTTTCTTCTCAAAAGTTGCAAACAACAAAATCAGCGAGGCAGTTAGAAATGTAAAAAATTTTTACACATTATTTTCTTCGCTGTTTCTCGGACCCCTCCACTAACTGTCCTGGACCTCAGAACACTAGCTGTTTTGAATCTCACCGCCAACATTTGAAAGAAATGAAATTTTATCACAGCTGAAAAGAGCTGACTGATTTCGCCGACATTACGTAACAAGCTCAAATTCATGAAATTCAATTTTGCAAACATTCGTTTGTACAGCTGGGTTTGTTTTCGTCCTCTAGGACATGAAAATTTTAAAAACACCCGAACTTCTTTGGATGTTCTTGAAATTAGACAGTATCGCAACAAAAAAAGGGCACAAAACTCAAAAGGTTAGAATCGAAATCGAGTGAGGGAAGCAAAATTAAAGAAACAGAGGATATTGCATTAATATCCTCTATTTCTTCACTGGGGAATATTGTTATTGGAAGGACTTGAGACATGAGGCCATTATTGAAATGTTATCCACATCTTTTCTGTTTCAGATCTTCACTTGAAGCATGAANGTTCATTATTAAATCTTTATCAGTCGAATAGAACAATTTAATTTTGCGACAAATCTGAATTTATTCATCTCCACTGAAGTGTGTGATTATGCTTCACAAAGACTGGCTAAATCACGAAAAATACCGGCGAAGCGCTAAAACTCTAATGAGACAAACCAAATAGAAAATGCCACAAAAACACGATTCCATTCATTTTAGCCTATAACGTCGCTGAGGGATTGGCGTGTTTTCGATCTATTTCACCGCGTAGAATCAATCATTAAAGAATTCCGACAGCAGATAACAGCTGTTTTGTTCTCAAAAGTTGCAAACAACAAAATCAGCGAGGCAGTTAGAAATGGAGAAAATTTTACCCATTATTTTCGTCGCTGTTTCTCGGACGCCTCCACGAACTGTCCTGGGTCTCAGAACACTAGCTGTTTTGAATCTCACCGCCAAAATTTGAAAGAAATGAAATTTTATCACAGCTGAAAAGAGCTGACTGATTTCGCCGACATTACGTAACAAGCTCAAATTCATGAAATTCAATTTTGCAAACATTCGTTTGTACAGCTGGGTTTGTTTTCGTCCTCTAGGACATGAAAATTTTAAAAACACCCGAACTTCTTTGGATGTTCTTGAAATTAGACAGTATCGCAACAAAAAAGAGCACAAAACTCAAAAGGTTAGAATCGAAATCGAATTAGGGAAGCAAAATTAAAGAAACAGAGGATATTACATTAATATCCT